GCTTTTCTCCCCCCCCCCCCGGTCAGCTGGAACAGATTAATTGCATTTCAATGCATTCCTATGGGAATCAGTGCTTCAACTTACGACCATTTTGAGTTACAACCGGCATTCCGGAACCAATAAAGTTCGTAAATCGACACACCACTGTACCCTAAAATTGGACAGGCAGACAAGAAGGCAGTACTGTAACACTGACCTAGAATGCGTCCTTTAGTTTATCCTCATTTGCAAAGTTAGTATAAATTTAGTAGCAGATCTGTGTTCCTAGCAAAGAATAGCCTCCTGCATCTCAAAGCACCATTCAGCGCTATTCAGGCACTCAAAACCAGGTCAGTTTGAAAGTGTGAGCAGGGAGAGAGTTCTCAGTGTCTTCGTATGAAGAGAGGCAGTGTGCAGAGGAGATAGACGGCTATATATGGAGACTCTCTGCAATCAGGAACCTTGGTTTTTCAGGATCCCCAGCAGGGAGCAGGGACAGCAGAGACCAAAGCAGCTTTCCTCTTCAGATAGTGAGCGGCGGCAGCAGGCAGGGAGGGGTAGAGCTAGAATTCTTTGCCTGCTCACTCTTTCAAATTAACTCTTATTTGAATGCCTTAATAGGGGTATCGTTAACCTCCTATTCTTCAGGTTCATTTCCCCCCTAATCTGATCTTACGCTATCTTTCAAACAAGCCAGCCTGTATCGAGTCATAACTAGCTGCACAATGCATCTTATATAAAGGACTACTAACTTGTGTCACTCTGACTCAATGGATCAAGGGGGCAACCCTTCTCTAAACATCAGAAAGTCATATGTGATGAGCATGCAATGCAATCAGGTTTTCTGACAAGACAGCCTGTATTTGAGAACAGGCTTTTCCGAGGAGCCGACAGACAGAGAACAACACTGTGAAAGGCTACATGATGCAATGAGAAGCAAATTAATATAGGTAACCTCAACTAAGAGCCTAATTCTTTTCCATAAATAAGAAACACACTCCTATTTATAGGCAGCCAAGAAAATACTTTATTTATCTTGTATTAATCCACGACAGGAATAGCCACGACTAAAGTGAGCAATGCTGAGCTTTGCCATAAATCCCTTCTTTATAGTGGAACATAAAGAGTCAGTCATGTTTCTCATTTTTTTTCAAAGGTTCCTAAACTGATACATAAGCCAAGCCAACCTGGCACAGAAAAAAAAAAGTGAGGAGATGCTAAGCAGAACTGCTCAAGGAAATCCAAAATCAGCTGTGCAGGCTGCCTTGCTGTATCTCATTTTAGGGTAGCAATATAATGCTCTCAAACATTTTATGTACACAAAGCTGCTGATTGTTACCTGTGGCATGCAGCTGCCTTTCCATGTCTACGTCTCTAAAGTTAGAGGGTTAACATCTGTAACATTCCTCAAACACCACTGCAGATCCTTCCCTTGACTTCCAGAACCCTCCTGAACAAGAAAACTTTCAGACAACACAGAGAAGCTGAAAGACAGCTCTTTTTCATTTGACACTCCTCTAGCTTCATCTCCCAGCCCACTGTCCCTCCTTATCGCTTCACAGACAGTGAAGAACTGCAAATCTCCAGGTGAATCCCTGCTTCGTGAGCATTTTACTAGATCCGTTATAGAGGGATTCATTGAAACTGTACAGTTAAAAGGGATCCCATGGGTCACTGAGACCAAACCCCTCCTGAAACAGGAAATCCATAGCAAAAGCACTCCGACAGGTGGCCATGCACCCTCTGTTTAAACACCTCTAATGAAAGTGAATCCACTCCACTGTAGGACAACTCTTACTGTCAAGAGATTGTTTCTGATGCTTAGGTGAAATCTCCTTTACATAATTTGAATCCATTACTTCATTATCCACCACATTCAAGTTTATCAACATCCTTCTTGAACGATTATGACCAGAACTGGATACATAATTTGAATCCATTACTTCATTATCCACTACATTCAAGTTATGTGAAGCCTAATCAGTGCAGAATACAGTGATACTATTACTGACCTTGATTTGGACA